AAAAATGCAGTTTCAACTGCTTTTTATTTTATAAAATCCGTCTTCTTGCGCCACCAGAGGGCCTTTTAAACAATAGGTAGTCTGTTAGCGTTGGTCAGTAGTAGTCCAAATTCAATATGAACATTTGTTTCTTGAAAATTTGATCACGATTTAAATACAGTATTTACTTTTAATATTATCGATATGTCATCGAAAAGAAAACGTGTTATATTATCATTAAAAGACAAATTAAAGTATTTGTTTCGATTATCCGGATTTTTCCTTATCTGGACTACCTTCATCCCCAATTAGTCCAGATAATCAAGGTTCTACTGTAATTATTACTTCTCTTTACACAATGAATAATTTGAAGAAATAAATTATTGTTGACATGCATACTAATAAATGGTGTATTGCTGGAAACAACAGAGAGATACATATAAGAACAAATATTCACAAAACAAATATATAACCACAGAACAGGTATCCCTTGTACAACACTTTTTCACTCTAACATGGTTTTGGAAATCCTCCATACAAAATTTCACAATTTTTAAGTGTAAACTTCATGATTTGCTTTTTTCTTCTTCAAGTAAGCATGTGTGTTGTCTCAATTTTTCCCATAGATTTTAGAATATTGAAATTTTCAAATTATTTTGTGCTTTTTGTCAGGTTTACTTTAATGAAAACTGATTTGACAAGAAAAAAAAATTGCACTGACTTTCCTATCAACCAGGTACAATTGTTGTTACTTTCAGACTTTAGTCCTTAAGACTGTCACTGTGTTTTGTTTTTATAGATTAATCTGCGTATTTAGTAAATTTTATTTAAACATTTTTAGATAAATGCTATTAAACTTTTTTTTAACTGTAGGTAAGCTATCGTTTGTAAAATGACAAACAAATGAAATACAATGGTATTGCAGTACTCGAACAATTCTGTATTCAAACACAAATTCTAGAAAAAAGTTGTTTATTACTCAAGGGAACTAATGCGATTCACTAGAACAAATTTTCGATTAAAACACATTTTTATTTCATCATCCATAAACATTTTTTATGATAAAAATAAAAAATATGAAAATACTGTTGATACTTCTGATCAAGATCAACAAAAATGCTGGGATGACAATGATACTTTGTAAAAAGAATACTTTGTAAAAGATACTTTGCCTCGTAGTTAAACAAGGGCATTTGCCCTTGTTTAACTATGAGGCCTGTCCGGAAAGTAAGTACCGTTTTGTTCTACCACCACCGCAACAGTGGTATCACAGTTCAGTGTTTGCGCACACGAGTCTCTGGTTGATTGTCAGTCCAGTGACGCCATTAGAGCCAGATTGTGTTGTTTTTCCACATGTTAGTGAGCGTTCAAAATGTTTAAGACTATTGTCGATGCCGCCGACTGTGAAGTGCATTCTGTAATACGGTTTTTGAACACAAAGAATGTTAAGCCAGTTGAAATTCATCGTCATCTTGTAGAGATTTATGGTGAAAATATAATGAGTGATGGAATGGTGAGAAAGTGGGTTCGACGATTCAATGCTGGATGCACCAATGTTCATGACGAAGCATGGAGTGGCCGGCCTTCTGTTGTCAATGATGGTTTGGTTGNAGCAGAAGTGCATTAAATTCCATAGGAAAATAAAAATCACAGTTACTATTCCTCAGAGTGATTAATATAAGAAAAAAATTAGTCTCAATTTGTTTTGACTGGTCTCATATGTGAATTGTTAATTATAGTGAATTTTTAATTATTTTTATATAAACTTTATTTTATTTTAATTTTATACTGAAAATTTCCATGAATAATTATTGGATTAAAACATCATATTTTTTCAAACTATCTCCAAATTACAGAAATTTCACTTGAATATAGTACTGATATGGGGAAGACATGGTCTTTGGCACGAAAACATTGTCTTCCTTCTGACGTTGATTGCATGGAATATTTTGAACCAAGTATTTATTTTTCTGATGTGTGTACTACAATTACTCGAATTACTCTTCCTTTACCATCATATACAAGGTAAGTTTATTTATTTTAATTTTTTAATAAATAATTGCAATTAAGATTAATTTTCAACCTAATACATAATAATTCAGTCAAAATACAAGAAACCGAAAATTATTAAATTTTACAAAATTAAGATATTAAAGCAACTGAAACTTACAAGGTTACAACATTTTGAACAATTAAACTGAAAATAATGTTAATGCCAATAATAAAATTATTTTCTGTTTAATTTTTTCTGAATTTATTTTATCATCATTACTGGCACAATAAAATAAAAATGTTAAATCAGATTCATTTACTTTCACACTTAATTTACATACTTGGGACAGTTCACAAACACTTGCAATCAAATTACCAGTGAGCACAGGAATGGATTTTCAGTAGCCACTTCCTTCTCACCATATCTTACAAATGAAGTATTGATATCTTCAAACATATGTTAGTGAAGACAATATGCAAGAGCATGTTTGTGTATATATGCCACTGTACTAAGCTATTGTCTTTGCTAATGCCTGACCAGATTAAAATTTATTTAATATTTTAAATTTTATACAAATGTTAATTTAATTAATGTAAAATGGATATTTCCATTACAGAGTTTTAAAAATAAATTTAATAATTGTTAAATTTACTTCAAAAATTATCGTAATTATTAATAGTTAGCAAAACTATAGTTTAAATAATCTAGAAATGAATATGATTATTATAGAATATTTGGGCTTGATTGGGCTGCATTTTAAAAAATTGTAGACCTATAAATTTCCACTTCATACATCCATCTGTCCATCTTTCCTTAATTTCAACAATGGAGTTAGATAGATGAAAGACAAGATTAGATATGGAAACGTGGGCAGGAGCTCCCAATTAACTATATACCAACTTCTGATGCAAACCAGAAGTCATATTATTTCAGTTCAAAAATTTTCCCCTGAAAGATGTTAGATAGATGACCAGCATGACTTTATTGTTAAAGGAAAAAAATGATGTACAGAGGCAAGTCACTACTAATTTATGGTGGAGAGAATATATTTTAAATTAAATAAATTAAAAATATGATTAAAAATTGCAGCCCAGCATTGTGATGATGTTACAATAAATAATTGCTCGTTGTTTATATATATCTACAATGATTTGTTAACAAAAAATGAAACAGAAAAAGTAATATTTTAATGCTTGAGATGGCAACTTCTAATTGCCTACCAATAATTTTCTTGCTTTCAATGATTTCCCCAGAGGTTCAGGATATTGTAGAGATCCCCTGTAGGATGAGGCCTGCAGGGCTAAACAAAAATTAATGGACAAGTCGGCTTGACAGATATACTAGCTTTTAATTAATTAATTCCAGTTTGGCGCGATTGCGATATATACATAGAACACGAAATTGACGATTTTTACAATATTCACATAGTAGAATAAAATGCTGCACACATTTAGGCACTTCCCTCTTTTCTCCTCTCCTTTAAGGGGGCTCACGACACGTTATAACAGGGGAACAAGGAAAGGCATGTAACAAAGAAAATATTACAAAACTACTCTGTTTGGATGAATCCTCCGCTGATCTTCTTTCTCTTAAATACGTTGTAACTCTATGTAAAACTATCATTAGTTGGATGTTAACGGATTGCCGTATCTCCGGCTTTATTTCCATTTTCGACCCTCTCACACTCAGCATCTTGATCTCCTATATTCACGTATGGCCAAAACACTGCGAATTGGGAACAAGAAAAATAACAAAAGGTCCTACTACACATGGGTCCTGACCTTTTATAACCTACTAAGTGGATATCCTCCTCACGTGACTTCTACTGGCCAATCTGGCTGCCGACATGAGGTGAATTGGGAAAAGGTGGCACTACGAACAAAAACGAAGGGGTCGAGGGAAAAACCAAAACAAACAAAAAAATAGTCGCAAAGCACTACAGTATACAATGGGGTAATTTATATAAGGATTTTTGTATTGGAATATATGCCATCATAGGTTATCTGCTTGAAATTACAGTACTAAAATCTTGAAATTAAACTTCATATCTCAAGTGGATGTGTGCATTACATATGTAATTCAGTGTAATTCATTAATGAATTCTGTTTAAATAGAAGATATGAAAATGCTTTTATATGCAATCTTTAACTTCTATGATTAGCTGTAATGTCAACAATAAAAAGCTGTAACTTTTGAACTATATATACAAGATAGAAAGATATGAGATAGAAATATACAAGAAAAATCTTGTTTGTTTACATGGATTGCATTTGGCCATTAATTCATTCATCTAACTTTTTGTCTACTTTTTTAAATAGTTTAAAAATTGTGATTTTTTTGACATGCTATTAGGAAATATTACAGCAAATAAGGAAAATAAGTTTTCAATGATAATATGAAAGAAATTTTCACAATATTTTTCCTCTTATAAGTAAAAATGGAATGAAATTTGATTTTACAAGAGAGCTTTAATTATCCAAAATAATCAAGGTAGGATAATTTTGGGTAACCAACATATTGCACATCACTCTATACACAAGATATGTTAATGATACATTGATTATCTGGAAGAAAACACCTAGCATAGATAATTTCTTGTCTGGTGTCAATAACAATCTCTTGGACCTCAAACTGAAACTTGAACAGGAGAGCCCATTACTACAGTTTCTGAAAGTGATTGAAAATATTTGTTTTTTCCAATAAATGTACCTGCTGGAATGTACTCACAGACACCTTCCAATATGGAAGGTGTCTGTGAGTGATTACATCAGCCAATTTTTGACTTAAAGCTTATGCTTATACTCAGAGGAGACCAAATTGATAGCAGCATATATCTTAAACCAGGGTATCAACTCTTTTTTTATTATCACTCACTCAAATGACTCTTTAGCTATAAGCTAGCAGTGTTCAGGGCATTAGTAAAGCTCTGACATCTTAAACATATTAGCTTAAATGACTAGAGCAGATAGCAGTGAAAGATGGATACCCAAGAAAGGTAATAAAACAAATGACATAAAAAACATATATAAAATGCAAAATAGAGAACAAAAAGATACTTGGCATATATTTTGCAGTGTAGTAGTTGAATACAATAAAACACTATGAAAATTTGTAATCACATGAATATAATTATTGACTATCAACACAGATTGTCCATCTATTAATGCAATATTCTGCAAAACAATAAAGATAATACCTTCTGTGATCAAAACCTATCGAGAATGGTTCAATATGTGGGATCTGTGAATATCCGTGGGATTAATATTCACAGGGGTGAATGAATTTGGTTACCATAAAAGGAGGAGGCAAGCAAGATACATGATTAAAACTATCTTTATGTACAAAAGTTATATACAAGATCACAGTGTGGCCGACGGCCACACTGTGATCTTGTATATTTGTAAGTTTATTTTTGTAAGTCTTAGCCTTTTCTTTGTTTCTTTGTTCTTTTGTTTCCTTAAACTTTCCAAAGACCGTTATCGCCTAAGAGTAGGATTAGCTGTTCTAAGAATCAGGGGAAGACAATAGAAAGAAGATGACCTGGGAAATAGCGGCCATGAGAGAGGGACTTGTTTTTGACGAGACATGAGGGAAGTCGGACGTGTCATGAAGAGCTCTGAAGAAAACTTGAGTAGAGAGGTTCTTGAAGACAGAGGTCACGATAAAAGAATCAGGTTCTACCCAAGGTGTTGATCAACCTGACATATAGAAATCCCGGGTGAATCATCTCATTTTCTCATTCTTTCCTATTATTCTATCTTCACCATTATTTCATTAGTATTAAGTAAAATTTAAGTTAGAGTTAAGTTAGACTTAGTTACACGCTTGTCCGAAATTTATTGTTACGCGATCGGGACAGATGTGTCATCATGCTTTGTTTGGAACAAAGAGTCCTTCGTGAAAATCATGCCCGATTGTAAATCATCATTAAATCAGTTGGGATTCTTTTTATATTTTGTTCAAAGTGAAATAAAGGAACAGGACTGTGAATATACAATTGTCGTAGAGCCTTTTCTTTGTACCTTTTCATTTGCGGATCATACAGTGTCAATTCAAATATCTATTATATTGAAATTAAACTATCTATTTTCAAAAGTAAATATAAAGTTTATTGTTTTTTTTTCCTCTGTGCAGTTTGTTTTTGTAATATTAATTGTTTATAAGTTTTAAGTATTTTAATGATAATTTCTAATTTATTTGAATTTTATGATGGGCTATGAATAATTTTAAATATAATTTTATAATTTTGAATTAGAACTGTATTCAAACCTTATTTGTACATTTAAACTGTAGTTTTGATGATTGTTCTAATACAATGGTTTATCTGAAGCAGGCTATCAAAAGTGCTTGAAATGTTTGTAGATTCAAGTAAACAGTTACAGGGACAATATTAGGTGTTGAAATTGAAATTATCATGTTACAACCATCATTTATAGTAAAATTGGTTAAAGTCTGTAGTAAATGGTTATTGGCTATAATACAATTTATTAAATATGTAATAACTTAACTTAGCCATGATTTTCTTAAAATCAGTATCTTAAAAATATAAGGTGCATGCATTACATGAGGGTACAGATTATTTGAGTAAATACAGTATATTTTTTGGCACTTAAAATTTGAGTTAATACTAAATGTTGTAAGTATTTATTTCAGAACACACAATACTCGATTTCGTTGGATTCAGCATCAAGGTTTCAAAAGTTCTCAAACATGGGCTGTTGGACATGTTTATATAGGTGATGAATGTTCTTACATGTGTTCAGGACATGGAAGATGTAGCATGGGTGGTTGTTCGTAAGTATATTTTAAAAATTATATTAATACTTTTGACTTCTGATCTTTTCAAAAATAAATTATACAATGTTAAATTATTATTAATGAATATACAGTATAATCAACTTTAAATAGATTTTACTTTCATTATTTTTGATTTTTTTCCTAAAGTTGAGTTAATTATAAACATAAATTTTGAATTTTACTGTAGAATTTTTAAAAATTTTTGTAGGATAAAATATTTTTAAGGCATTTTTCAAAAAACACAAATAAATCTGGACATGAGGGTATTTGAATTAAAATACAATTTATTAGTTTTAATTATTTTTATTATTGATGTGCATAGTTTAATATAAAATATATATAGCTATATATTAGGGGCAGTCAAATGAAAATGAGACAAACTATATAACAAGTGTGGCACTAAGTTGGTAATTCAGGTAGGTGTGTATATAGAAGTGCCCTCTATTGGGAATCAGGAAGGCACAGTGTGAACGTTCACCACTGTGCCATTTGTCTGTGCTCGAAGTGAGGTTGATGAGTCGTGTGCGTCCAACATCACTATGTAGGTCTGCTGTTTGTTGACTTTCTGGAATACAGCTCCACAATTAACGCACAGTGATACATAGAAACTTTGCAAAAATTGAAGCGTGCCATCAAATTCAAACACCCAGGAATGTTGACAGACAGCATCATTCTGTTGAGGATAATGCCTATCCACATGTTACCAAGGTTGTTTTGACTACGCTGCAGAAGTTCCCAGGAAACTTCTGCAGCATAGTCCATACACATCCTCCATACAGTCCCGATTTCTCCCCATGCGATTACCATATTTTTGGAGCCTCAAAGAAAGACATTCGTGGCTGTCAATTTGCTTCGGACGAAAAGGTGCACACCTGGGTACAATCATGGTTCCGTAGGCAACCGCAAACATTTTTCTATGAAGGCATTGACTATCTTGTCTCACAGTGGGATAAATGTATTAACAATGATGACAATTACTTTTGAAATAATAAACAGTTTACTTACTCTTTTCTCATCTGTCTCATTTTCATTTGACTGCTCCTAATATATTGTCATATATATGATTATTCAAATAATAACGATTAATTTAGAAAATATAATAAGACAAAAAGCAATGTTGAAATACTAAATTGGATTGATTGCTTAATATAGAATATGGATATATATTAGACAAAATATACATGTGTTCAATAATTTTTTTTTTGCCATTTGACAGGCATTTGTATCTTTCACTTATGAATTTAGAAGGATTCTTCTCAGTTTTTTTTTTCCATTTATCTTATAATTACGAGGCCTGTCCGGAAAGTAAGTACCGTTTCATTCTACCGCCATTGCAGTGGTAGTATCGCAGTTCAGTGCCTGCGCACACGTCTCTCTGGTTGATTGTCAGTCCAGTGACGCCATTACAGCCGGATTGTGTTGTTTTTCCACGTGTTAGTGAGCGTTCAAAATGTTTAAGACTATTGTCGATCCCGCCAACTGTGAAGTGCATTCTATAATATGGTTTTTGAACACAAAGAATGTTAAGCCAGTTGAAATTCATCGTCATCTTGTAGAGATTTATGGTGAAAATATAATGAGTGATGGAATGGTGAGAAAGTGGGTTCGACGATTCAATGCTGGATGCACCAATGTTCATGACGAAGCATGGAGTGGCCGGCCTTCTGTTGTCAATGATGGTTTGGTTGCAAAAGTGAATGAGAAAATTCTTGAAAACAGACGGTTCACAATAAGATTGCTTTGTGATGAGTTTCCACAAATTTCAAATACTGTTTTGCATGTGATTGTCACAATTCGCTTAAATTATCACAAATTGTGTTCCTGTTGGATCCCAAAATGCTTACGGTTTCCACAAAACGAAGCAACTTGGAAGTGCTTTGACATTTCTTACCCGATACAGTGAAAAGGTAATGATTTCCTAAACAAAATTGTTACTGGTGATGAAACTTAGGTTTGTCATGTCACTCCAGAATCAAAACAACAGTCGATGGAGTGGAGGCACCCATGGTCCCCCACAAGACACAAATTCAAAACAACGTTGTCAGCACGAAAAATCATGTGCACTGTGTTCTGGGACAGACAGGGCATTCTGCTTGTTGAGTTCCTTCCCAGAGGTGAAAGCATCAATGTGGAACGATGCTGTGAAACATTACAAAAACTTCGCCGTGCAATTCAAAACAAAAGGCGTGTAAATCTCAGTAAAAGCATTGTGTTGCTTCACGACAATGCACATCCCCATACTGCTGTTGTCACTCAAAACCTTATTCAACAATTCAGTTGGGAGCAGTTTGATCACCCACCGTACAACCCGACCTCGCTCCTGCAGACGATCATTTGTTCTTGAACTTGAAGCGTAATTTTGGAGTGAGACACTTTGCCAGTGATGAATACGCAACAACCAATGTTCAGTAGTGACTGTCTCCACTGGTGGCATCTTTCTTTGAAGAGGGTATAGACAAGTTGGTTTTCCGATATGACAAATGTCTGAACAATGGTGGTAATTATGTAGAAAAATAGTTTCCAACATGCTCTTTCATGTAAAAATAAATTTTGTTTTGAAAAAATATTTTTTATACTAGTTTTTCCAAAACGGTACTTACTTTCCAGACACACCTCGTAAAATTAATATTAATGCATTGTACAGTATTTTTAATCATGATTGTTAATTAATTATTGATTGCTTTAATAAACATATCTCTCTTAGCAATGATAAAGAATAATAAACTTCTGCTATCTTCTGGAATGTAACACTATGTTTTGCATTAGTCCATTGTTTTGTATAGCATGGATTTGCATAACGTGGCACTTTTTCAGAATGTAACTATTGTGTTATACAAGGGATACAGGTATCTTTATTTAGTCCTGCAACTTTATTTTTCTATAAAACAAACGTTTTTGATCTTCTTAGATCTTCCTCCAATGTTATTTGAAATTGGAAAAGTCTAAAGAACACAATGTATTTCAAAATTTGAAATCTCCAATCAGATGCGCATAGATAGTTGACGTAATTAAATTATAAATATTTATCAAAATGTTCTTGCCAAGCATGAGAAAAGCATTTCTCTTGCTTATAATTAATACAGCCTCCAAATTCCAAGTCCACTTTAAAGATCGCAAGGGATTTCAATTCTCTGAGTTGTTCAGTAGAGATAGCACATATTATCAAAGAGGCTGATCTAATTTTTCAGGCAAACAATTAACCAGGCAAGGTTATTTAAGTTATAACAACTTAAATGACCTTACCTGGTATGTGACAAAAGATTCCAGATGAATTTAGTTGATATAGAGTCTACAAGAAAGGTTGCTAAAAAACAGATGGAAGAACACAGATATTACTTAGTTCGCACGAAGAGATCCACAATCCTATCCACATGTGTCAGACAATGAATTACAGTTGACCCCCTATAACACAGTAGATACGTTCTGTTCTTTATGAAATTGATGTTCTACAAGTCCTTAAATACATGAGCCAATCACAGCCCAGCACGTGTACAGTTTACGGACTATGGCTGTTTGAAAGGTTTTCTTCCATAAAATTAATCGATTCTAGACTAATTCGACTCAACATTTCCAAAATATGTATAATTTTTTGTGAATAATCCATATAAACTATGCTATAAACAAAAAATTGTAGGATTACTTACCAAGTGTGCACTGTTCGACGATGCCATTGCTTAAGCTTGTTTTCGTTGTGGAGTGGTGCATTGAATGGCGCTTGCGTGCTTCCTGATAAATTATTTTTTCTGTGAAAACTTTGCTGAACTTTGGAGACATCATTAATATAAATATAATTTTTATGACTGTTAAATAATAAATGGTTTTTAGTAGGTCCACTGCTCGTTTAAACTCAACGGTTTGTGCAATATCCGCTATTGGTCTAGATTTGACCAATCCTGTTGTAACACGAGTCGGCGATGACATTTTACTGAATTATACGAGTGCTTTTAGAGTGTTTTTACGAATACAGTGACAATTTTTTCACCGTCATATAGGAATCTGAACTATATGAATTCGTTTTATAGGGGTCTACTGTATAGCAAAATTAGATTAGGCCTCTTTGATAAAATGGATAAGATGTGCTTTCTCTACTGAACAACTCAGAGAATTGGAAATTCCTTGAGATCTTTAAAGCAGACCAATTTGGAGACTGTAATAATTTTAAAGAAGAGAAATGCATTTCTCATGCTTGGTAAGCACATTTTGATAAATATTTATCAACATGTGCTTACCAAGTGTGAAGTCAATCATCTATGCACATCTGATTAGAAGTTTTAAATTTTGAAAAACATCATGTTCTTTAGACTTTTCCAATTTTGAATAATACATGAGGAAGGTTTTAAGAGAAGTTCAAAAATGTTTGTTTTACAGAGAAATAAAGTTACTGGACTAGATAAAGGTCCTGCAGTTATATATCAGATACATATAAAAGAGAATTACATATCGGTGGGTTATGTATGACTCAGACATCACTGTATCAAAACTTGAACAAAAAGTTAAGCTATATTTCCATTGTTATTGCATAACAACATATTAACAGACAATATATAAATGGCTTGCTGTATGGTATATTACAAATGTAAATTCGTCTCTGTAATCCAAAAAAACACACTTTGGTAGACGTATCTCACAGCAATTTCTGGTTAGCAAATTATTTTTTATTTTTCATTGAACTTCAAATATATTTCGGGTTGGTATAATGTACTCCAACCCCTTCTCAGTGCTAGATTAAATAAACAAGAAATATTAAAACATGACTATGTTATACCATAGAAACAAACTAAATCATAAAAAACACTTACATTTCCACATTATGTAAATTACAAAAAACTCTTTTTTGTTTTTAAAATAGGGATTGGGAGGGCAAACCTTCCTCATCTTTAACCTGTAAAACATAAAATTGTGCATTCCGTGTTAATATACATCTAAAATTAAACATACCTTAACCATAACTTCCAACAAACAAACTTTCATTATACTGACAATCATTTAAATTTTTTTACACATGGGTATATAACAGACGTAGTAAAAAATTGTTAACATAGTAAAAATTGACATACGTATGTAAAAGTTTTTTTGATACACAGACAATATTATTAAAAATATACCAGTATCAGAATTACCATGGAAGATTTTTTACAAATGATTTATACCATGTTTTAACTTGTTTTAGTGCCATCTATTAATTTGTACCAGAAGTAATCAATTTGCATACCATCTGAGTTATTTATTAAATTATTTTTTTGTTTCCTTATTTCTAAATGCTCTTTAAATTTTCTTTTATAAAGATTTTTTTCAAAATGCAGAATTTTTATATTATNGTAATCAATTTGCATACCATCTGAGTTATTTATTAAATTATTTTTTTGTTTCCTTATTTCTAAATGCTCTTTAAATTTTCTTTTATAAAGATTTTTTTCAAAATGCAGAATTTTTATATTATTTTGGTTAATTTTACAATTATTGTTATTTGTATGATCATACCACAGAGAATTATTGTACTACAATCTGATGGCCGCTTCATGTTCTTTTTACTATGTTAACAATTTTTTACTATTATATATGTCTGTTATATACCCATGTGTAAAAAAATTTAAATGATTGTCAGTATAATGGAAGTTTGTTTGTTGGAAGTTATGGTTGTTTAATTTTAGACGTATATTAATACAGAATGCACAATTTTATATTTAAATACAGTTAAGGATGAGGAAGGTTTGCCCTCCCAATCCCTATTTTGAAAACAAAAAAGAGTTTTTTGTAATTTACATAATTTGGAAATGTAAGTGTTTTTTATGATTTAGTTTGTTTCTATGGTATAACATAGTCATGTTTTAATATTTCTTGTTTATTTGAACTAGCACTGAGGAGGGGTTGGAGTACATTATACCAACCCGAAATATATTTGTAGTTTAATGGAAAATAAAAAATAATTTGCTAACCAGAAATTGCTGTGAGATATGTCTACCAAAGTGTGTTTTTTTTTTTTTGGATTACAGAGATGGATTTACATTTGTAATATTAACAGACACCAAATAACTGTAGAGTATTTTGTTCCCCAAATTCTGTTCATATATATATATGTCTGTTGTATTTATTTGGTATGTATACATGTATTAATGTATTATTTAAGAAAATTATTATAATAGTAAAATCTCCACCAACTTTAGTCTAGCAGTCATCTAAATTATCAACATTCGGATGTTTTTGACCTAGTCTGAAGGTCTTCATCTGGAAATTAGAGCATAATGGAATGTTCGTTGAATCTTCAAACAGGAAAATTTAATTTTGTATCAAATACAATTTAAATTAGCTGTCATGTGCATATCTTGTAATATATGGCCAGGACATATATTACAAGATATTTTCAAAGCATTCCTGCCATATTTTTGAGATTGCCTTTTCTTCTTTGTTGTTGATGCAATTTATTGTTCTGTTTGCCGTAAAAATTTCAAGATCCTTTATCTCTCTAATATGTTCACCACTTATCAATGTTTTTAACATGGAAACTTGTTAAAAAATGGAACAATCCTGGCTTCTGATGCATAGATGGAGAGACTGAGCACCACAAATGCTGCAATTTTATAGTGGTATGGGTCATGGGAGTCTGCCAGAATGTAAATTGGCTCAAAATGTACATTTCTTTCACTTGTGAAAGGGAGGTACAGTACATTTCCTAGATCTACTTATTTGTTTAGAAGGTGGTGATATTCAAACCTGTACTGCCATAAAATTGCAGCACCCCAGCCAGTAGCATAGCAAGGGGGGTGCAAAGGGTGTAACATGCACCAGGCGCCACTTGCAGAGGGGCATCCAAATAGTCTCCAAGACAAACTACATGTGTTTCTGGAGGGGGGTGCTAATAAAGTGCCGTGTCCTGGGCACCAGTTATGTTTGCTATGCCACTGACCCAAGCATTCATCAAGAGAGTGCACCCACTGCACTAGCAGGGTGCAACTCAAAATAGACTTTCTTAAGAATATAGCAACCAATCACGGATTTCCTAAGCAACTCATTAAGAGCATCAATAGTAAGCTTTTGGCTACAGGTCCAGAATAGGGTGATACAACCTAACCCAAGGAGAAAGAGAGGAAAGACCCCTTGGTAGTACAATATAATTACATTTTATCTTCTGTATATAATCAAATAGCCAGTCTCAAGCAGTAGTGTAGTGTAGTGGGGCCCCCTAAAAGTGCCACCTGGGGCACTTTTAGGGGGTGGCAAAATTTCATAATAAATAATAATAATATATTGTAAAATTTGAACCATTTCATTTCATATTTTTGTTGCACCTACGATTCGGACATTGAAATGAGCACGGAATTTTTCATTACTTATTCTGTGACGAAACTGAATTTTAGTCTTTTAAGGGGGCAGCGAAATTTTCCTTTGCCCTGGGCGGCTGACACCCACGCTACTCCACTGGTCTCAAGGATACTACATAGCTTACAATCAACCTTCATTGATTTTCACTTTACTTATCAATACAAAGGCTTCATTAAATAAGAATAGAGTCCCTGGGTATATGCCATTTCCCTTAGGGATTGACAGATTGGAAAGAGATCTGATCTACATTGGCTCCACCAAGCAATGGCTAGCTAAACATGTTAAGGAGCACTAATACAACATTCACCTTGGCAAAATCACCACTGCCCTATCTGTCTATGCATTGGAAGCTAGAATCATCCCATTTTTTCCAACAAGCCTCCATGTTAAAAACATTGGTACATGGAGAACGTATTAAAGAAGTGGAGGCCCCTGAAATTTTCAAGACAAACAAAGCAGGAAATTGCATTAATAACAAAGAAGAAAGGGCAATCTCAAAAGCATGGCATAAAACCAATTAACTGGTGTGAATAATGTTTAAGTGACGAATGTTTTTGTTACCCCTTCTGGGCACTTCTTCAGGTCTTTTCTTAATTCAAAACAGGCTGGCCATTAACATTCGAATATAAATCACATGACCTTAACAAAAGCATTCGTCACTTAAATGTTATTCACACCAGTTAATTGGTTGGTGAGTTGTATGTTTTATATACATCCCAGTGTTGTGCAGTTAAATAAAATATAAAATAAAAAAAAAAGCATGGCATGCATGCTTTGACAATACCTTGTGAAATTCCTATCCATACAGTATGAAGTATGTGCATGACAACTGATTTAAATTGTATATGATATGAAATTAAATTTTCCTGTTAAAGGAAAATTTAATTTCATATCATATACAATTTAAATGAATTCAATTTAAATTCAATGAACATTCTATTATGTTCTAATTTCCTAATGAAGACCAGAGTAGATCAAAAATGTTACATAGCTTATCATGTAGATGGCTGCTGGACTAATTATGAAGTTGGTGGAGATTTTACTTACTATTAAGTTCATCCAGTTTATATTTGAAAAATTATTTATAAATAATTATAATGAATGTAAATTGATTAATAATAATAATTTTTTTTTTAGCCTTGTACTAGACAGATAATTACCAAAGATTTAGATTTACGAAATGCGACACTTGTTCAATTCTATTTTCGATTTGGTTGTATTACATCACCAACATCTCGTGATCAAGGTGTTTTTCTTCAGTTTTCAACAAATGGTGGTATTACTTGGAATACTGCTAAGGAAATGAGATTTGATCAACATGCAAAATCTAGGTATATGTAAATTATATTATGTGAAATAGCACTTAATTTTGAAGAACTAAATCAATTTTATTTTTTGCACCAAAGTATGTAAGAAAACAATAAATAATTATCATCATCCAATTTCATATTAAATTCTGTAAAATATGAAAAAACTAAAACAAATGAAATAAAATTGTGGAAATTAGTAAAATATAAAATTGCGCAAAACAGAATTATACAATTGTTCCAAAAATTTTTGGATATATAGTATAAGGCAGGGTTGTCCAACATTTTTTTTAAGGGTCAAATTAAAAGTTTATGTATATTCAGTGGATCACAAAGGTAATTTATATAAATACAGGGTGATTATAATTAAAGTTCCACTTTAAAATGGCCATAAAATGAAAACTATTGAACAAAATGTTATCAAACTTGGTAATAGTGTATGGAACATCATGGGATTTTATTTTCCACAAAAAAAATGGTTCAAAAACTCACCACCAATGGGAAATGGTGCTGTCTGCAATATTGTTAAATGAAATAAGACATGAAGACATTGTTGAAATGTTTTTAATCAATTTTAAAACATGTTACAGAGCATGTTCAATGTGGCATCCACCATTTTTGATAAGCAAGTTACATCGCATTACTGTGTTCTCAACAGTAGCTCTTAGCATATCACTTTCTTCCTGCCGCAAGCCATTGTGATTTTGCATAACTCCACAAACATTTTCATTTTAAAATCGATTAAAAACATTTTCAATGATGTCTTTGTGTCTTACTTCGTTTAACAATATTGCAGACAGCGCCATTTCCCATTGGTGGTGAGTTTTTGAACTATTTTTTTTTTCACGGGAAATAAAATCCCATGATGTTCTGTACACTATTACTAAGTTTGATAACATTCTATCCAGTAGTTTTCATTTTATGGCCATTTCAAAATGGAACTTTAATTATAATCACCCTGTATATGCTTTAAAAAGTTTAAAATGTGAATATCTAATTTTNTACCTTCATCCCCAATTAGTCCGGATAATCGAGGTTCTACTGTATATGCTTTTAAAAAGTTCAAAATGAAAATATCATATTTTGAAAATAAATATATATATATAATTACAAAAAATACTGTATTATTGACAGTAAAAACAAATTATACTCACACAAAATAGATATAAATTCAATGCGAGTTTTGATATTGCCTTTCTTTTATAATATTGTCAATATCTGCATTTATGGTACTAGTCTTAATTCTAAGAATGTTAGTTAAATGGGAATCACTCAACCTATTTCTTTCAGCAGTTTGATGTTTTTTATGCACGAAAATAACTGTTCAGAATAGTATGTTATGCATGTTGAGTAGTACAGCATTCTAGTAGCAGTTACATCATTACAAGTATATCCAGACAAAATGTATCCAGTTTACAACATACTTCACCAAACTAAATGAAAATGTACTGTGAGAGTATAGAATGTGGGAACAAGTCGACACGTAGAACTTTAGTGATTTCTTTGCAAGGACAAATTTAGAACAAGCGTGCTTGATAGAGCAGATGCTTAGAAGGGGGAATCCACTGATCTCAATAGGGACTAGACAAAGACAACAATCCAAATTAACAAGATAACCCCTTAATTTTCCTGAGAACATACAGTACTTCTAGGAAAAAAGGTCACAGGAACATACGGAGCCCGACAATCCAGTATACCGAATATCGTTAACATCAAATCTCCCGACAATATACTGCTCAAAATTCCCGTAACGTGAGGACATAAAAGATACCGACAAATGAGTTTGAAGTGTACCTCTTCCTTTTCTTCACTCTGGGCAGAAAACAGTTCAAAATTCAAAATCTCTACACTGATTTGGTTGCACAGTCTTTACTTTCCCACACAATTTCACCACCAGCACTACTTTGCTTCTTCCCCATCCTCTCTTCACTTCTGTTCTAACTTCTCCCCAAGACACACCCTTCAATAAAACTCCCACCCTCAGTTACACACTCCAGAATTACACAACTCCTCTCCATCGAGTTGGGCCCACCATGTGACGAAGGGGGGCAAGAAAAGACGTAAGGCACAGTACCTAAAAAGTTTAGGGTGCAGTGGATCGCATAAAAATATTAAGTAGGTCATGAGTTGGACATCCCTGGTATAAGAGATAAAATATAAAAATATCTTATTATTATACTAACTCTGAGAAATTGGATGTCTGCACATTATATTCAATGCCTTTATATTAATTATTTGACCAGTTCCATCATGAACTATATTGGTATAATTAAAAAAAAAGTTGGATCATTACAGTTTATGATGGAACTGGGCAAATGATCATGTATATACAAATTACAAATAATCTTTAACATAAATCTAATAACAATATAAATCTTTGTTATCCAGAAATAATTCATTTTTGGTTCTGAAATGCTTTTGGAGATTTCATTCCATCTTTAATAAAGTGATATTTTTTAAAATTTCATTACCATAAGAATACACCTTCAAAAATTCTCATTTAGAATTATCTGTAAGATGAGTATTTTATTAAAATTACTTTAAATTCTAAATAAAAATGTTTGATTGTGATATAAATAAGAATCTAGTTTTTAAAATTTTTGCTAAGGTGACCAGTATTCAGTAACAACACTAGGATTGTTGTTCTGTGAGGACAAAGGTTGGGCAGAACACTGTTTTAGTAGGGTGGGTGTTATTTGCACATTTTGAAGAAATTGAAGAAATAATTTTTATTCATGCAATTTTGTACATAAAATGTCAGCATAGGCTATTTTTTTTACAAAAATCAAATTTCTTACTTAATAATTTATTTTAATTTTTTTATTTATATCTTAGAATATGTATTTGCACATTTGATATGTACACACAAAGATTTTCAAATGATGATAACTAAATAAGAATTATCATCTCTTTTCATTTAAATTTTGCATATTTTTGTTTAATTAAAGTTTAAATTTTAAATAAAGTAGTTTTAATAATTTAGTTAAAATCTCAAATTTTATTAATACTTATGTTTTTATTAGCAATATTTGTTTTAAAGTTATATTCAGAAAATATTTTTTTATTAATTTTATTTACTTAGATGAAAATATATTTCAGTTATATTGCTGTGCCTTTATCAACTGAATTTAATCAAAATGGTGTACGAGTTCGTTGGTGGCAACCTGAACACAATGGACGAGCTCACAGTGATTGGGCAATTGATAATGTTTTTATTGGAGGATTAACATCAGCACCTATTAATTTAAGTGATTTATGGGAAGGAAACTTTTTATCACACAGAAAATGGCTAGTTTATAATAATATAGTTTCGGGACATTACTGTGGAAGTATTAACTCAGTAGCCATTGGAGATGCAACAAATAATGAAAATGCTACTTTAGAAACAATTGATCTTCATATAAAAGAAGACTATATTTTACAGTTTATGGTATTAAATTTTTTATTTTATTTATAAATTTTATTATTATTTCTTTATTGGATCATAAAATATGAGAAACTGAATTCAAAATAAATGTTTCATATTGAAGTAAGTTTCACTTAGTTTGTAGCATGTCTAATAAATTTGAATGCAGTAAAAGTCCAAAAGTCTAGATGGCTTGAGGATTGGAATGGTCCAAATTTCTGGATTTTCCAGATTCTTGGAGATAACTTTAAGATTTACATTCAAGAAGAGATAAAAATAAAAGTAAACAAGTAAATCATAATAGTGTAATTGATGTACACACACTCAGCAATAGTATATAAATCAAAAAAAAAAAAAAAAAAAAAAAAGAGGTTTAGTTTCTAAGCCAATTTTACATTCTGAAATGAACAGTAGGTGCCAAGTGGATCTCATTGATTTTCAGACTCAACCTGATGGAAAGTTTAAATTTATCATGGTCTACCAAGACCACTTGACCAAGTTTATTTTGCTTCGTGCTTTGGAATCTAAACGAGCTGAAGAAGTAGCCTACCATTTGAATGATATATTTTTGACAATAGGTGTCCCGTGTATTTTGCAGTCAGACAATGGAAGAGAATTCGTCAATCGTATTATATGTGAAATGACGAGTCTTTGGCCAGAACTTAAGCTAGTGCATGGAAAACCACGGCACAGCCAAAGTCAGGGCTCTGTCGAGAGAGCCAACCAAGACGTCGAGAACATGATCAGTTGTTGGCTAAAAGATAATCACTCGACTAAATGGTCAGAAGGATTGAGATATGTACAATTTATGAAAAATAGGGCCTATCATTCGGGCATAAAACAATCGCCTTACAAAGCTATGTTTGGAGTTGAACCCAGAGTTGGTCTTTCAACGACATCACTACCACCAGAAATAATAAAGGATATTCAAGATGAAGATGACGTTCAAAAACTTATTGAAACTGATTTAACCCATAGACATACAAATGATCACAATAATTCAGGAGATGATAGTGATTGTAATGATATCGAAACTTCTAAAATTGGTGATGATATCCAAAAGGCAAGACAAACAGCTGCTGAAAACCTTCAGAAACAGGCAAAAAAAATGAAATCTGCTTCTGACAAATCGCATCCACCAGCTAAAGTGGGAGATAATGTGACTGTGCCGACTCCTGATGTAGACAGAGGAAGGGG